AACATACTTTTAAGTTCACACCCTAGCTTACGTTATTGTAATCATTAATATATCCCTGCCCTAAAATAATTAATCCTTCTTAGAGCATCTAAAATCCTAATTAGAGTCCTGTCATGTTCCAGATGGTGTTTATAGATCTCAGTGGTCTGTCTTCCAGTCTGTAGTTCCTTATTTGTAAGCCACATTCACAAATCAAACTGCTAGTAGGAAAGAGAATTATATTATTTAGTTGTATGCCTTGTATAAACAGGGTAAGTTAGGAGGTATTGTAGAGGATATGGCAGTATCTTTAACCAGGGCTTCACATCATCTACAGTGCCAAAGCTGGAGTATTTGTAGCAGAAACTACCTGCTGTCCCAAAATAGTATAAATCAAAATCTAATCTAATTATAAGGGAGTAAGAATTAGCAAGATAGTTTCTAGTCATCAGGTTTGCAAAACTTCCAAATGAAAATAGTGTGTCAACCAAACTCCAACCTAAAATCTGAGAAGCATTTGTTTCAATGGGGTGTTTATTCCAAAATCTAATGTGAATGTCAATTCTATCTTTATAGATCATTTCAACAGAAATTCCAAGCTAACATTCTTACCTTTCTTTGGTGGATGTGGTCACAGTTATTGGGATGGTCAGCAGTAGGATAGTTAGCTATTAATGGGAACCATGGAGTAGAACTTGAAATGCAAACACTCTCACTATAATCACCTCCAGCCTCGTTCACCCCATTATCAAAAAATCTTTCTGAGCACCAAACTAGCAGCTTTGCCAAAATAGCACTTGCATAATATTTCTTTAATTACCTTAGGCTTTTGAGGCAATAACACGCATATTTCTCTGGATACTGACTCTTGCGCTGTGAACTATTGCTTTCATACTCTGAGCAGAACAGCAAAATAGGCAAGAAAAAGCTTAGGGCAATTTCACATGGCCCACTATACTTGTGTATATCCACACTCCAGTGAGACATAACTTAGCCTTAGGAAAATATTGAAAATCACAGGTTAAAGAGGTCAGTTACATAATCAAGCATAGCTATGCTAAACTGCACAGGTTAGATATAGAAAGAGTGAAATGTGCAGCTCAGGGACCGCTCAGCTCACCAGCAGCTCGCCCTCTGCCCCTGCTGCCGAAGAGGCAGGTAAGGATTGGGTCCCCACCCTTGTCTACACTCCATGGGGGTTTAGTTTGGTTTAATTCTCCCTAAATTGAAGTGGTATTTTTAAAAATCAACCATTTCAGTTTAGGGAGAACTAAACCAAATTAAAACCCTGTGGTGTGTACAAGCAACCTTACTGACCAAACAGTGCAAGGGAGCTCGCTTATTAAAAAGTGGTTAGGAAGAAAAAAGGGGCAGTAGAGCTCTGACTACACACTAGAGTGGCCAGTTGCAGCAGTGTATGTTATGGGATGAGGAGCAATACAGTGTGGGATACCTGGAGGACTGACCAGACATGTATCACAGAATGCTTGATGTTGATACACAGCACTAAAGTGGTTCACAATGAACCAGTTCAAAATACTATTCGATTTTCCAGGTACACATTTGAATCATTCCATGCAGATATAAACCATTTTATCAGGCTTGTATGTCTGTCTGCTTCAACTTTGAACTGCATTTAAGCCATTGTGAGTGCAACATGTGTCCACACCCTCTGCTGCAGATAAAGTGATCTCTGTATATAATCTGTAACTATTGATATACATTTTGCAGTCAGAGATGATTTAGGATAAAAGATATATACATAAAAGCTGCTATTATGATAATATTCAGTCAGAAATTTCTGTCATACAGTGTAAAACAGCCACTGCTTTATTTACAATGCGTCACTGCAAAAATATACTGTTATCACTAGACATTCCCAACCAAAAAATGTTGTTGCAATCACAAAGTAAATAAGTAAGGTTAAGTGACTACAGCCTAAATTGTTTGTTTTTTAAAAATCTAGTCAAATATGTGCTACCATAACTATCCCATAGCAGTGTGTGCTGCCATACAAGAGACTAGGGTTTAATTCTTGGATTCTGCTTCTCACTCCATGAGCAGGAGCTAGGAGCACTCCAGAGCTGCAGCCTCAACCCTGGGAGGGATGGAGCCTTGTGTCATTCAGCAACAGTGACCCCTACTGGCCAATTTAAGGAGAAGCATTGAGGGGCTCTAAAAGGAGTCACTTCCAGTCCTCCTCAGAGGTTGGTGGTCATTGCACGGGAATTAGTTAGTGGAGGTTATATGGGGTTCAATTGGTGGGGATCTTCCACAGTCCATCAGAGGAACAGAACCCTCTGTGGGAGGCGGTGGCATGTGTGCCTCCTAAGAAATTATCTTTTTGCCTATATA